ATTCATTCGTCTATAAGTATTGAACTACCCAGTATATTTTTCTAAAATTTGGTATGGAGCTTAAACTTAGGACGTTGAATTCATTCACCTATCGGGCGAAGAGAAAATCCAGGTTCGGCCTCAGGAAAAATTCACATTTATTCGAAATAAAAAACTGAACTGGATTTGATTCTTTTTGTTTTCCCGCCACCAATTCTCATCGTAACAATCATAAACAGAAAGCTGAAAGTATGTCAATTTGAAGAGTTGAAATTATGAAACCAGTGTCAATTATGATTATTCGATATATTTTAGTCAAAAAATCGCTCGAAAGAACTTACTACGTCTCACAGTTTTTATAACGGAGATACAGGGTGAATTATCGGTTTTGAATAATTATTCACTCGTCCATTAGTATAAAACTACCCAGTAACATTTTCTCAAATATGGTATGTAGCTTACTTGGGACGATGGATTCATCAACCTATCAGGCGGAATTATAATTCGATAATTCACCCCGTATCTCTGTTATAAAGACTATGAGACTTTTCCTGAAGCTGAACCTGTATATCCATTCTGCCTGATAGGTCAATGAATCCATCGTCCCAAGTAAGCTCATCAATACCAAATTTGAGAAAATATTACTGCGATGGGTAGTTTAATACTTATGGACGAGTGATAATTCACCCTGTATCTCTGTTATAAAGACTGTGAGACTAAGTAAGTTCTTTCGAACGATCATTTAACAAGAATATATCAAATAATCATAATTGAAAGTGGTTTCATAATTTTAATACTCTTGAAATTGACATACTTTTAGCTTCCTGTTTATGATTGTTACGATGAGAATTGGTGGCGGGAAAGCAAAAAGCATCAAATCCAGTTCAGTTTTTCCTCCCCCTCACGATTACTTTGATGAACTTTGTCAATTATTACATACAGTGTGTTATTTTAATATTTCGAATAAATGTAAATTTTTCCTGAAGCCGAACCTGGATTTTCACTTCGCCCGATAGGTGAATGCATTCAACGTCCCAAGTTCAAGCTCCGTACCAAATTTTAGAAAAATATACTGGGTAGTTCAATACTTATAAACGAATGAATAATTATTCGAAATCGATAAATCGCCCTGTATCTCTGTTATGAAAACTCTAAGACCTATCAAATATGGTATTTTCAGAACCACCTTGGTGACCCCTATCTACCATTGAAATATTTCCCTTTACCTGTGGAACACCCTGTATATGAGATATGTGTCCCTCTTCGAGCAACACTAGACTCTCGATTAATTGATTATCATTATTACTCTGTTTTTATTTGAGTAGGTATTTGATTTCGTATAAAATCCGAAGAAATCTCTCCAATTTTCACTTCACGTAACCAAGGAAGATTCTCGTAGATACAACTCCAAATGAATTTCGAAAAACAAGATGTTTTGAGACATATCTTCTAATTCTGCTAGTTTCAATTATTACATTTCGATTGTTCGATAAGAACAAACGAGAAAACGTGAAACGAATTTCACTATTTGAAATATAATATTTTGTACAAACACAACTCAAGACTCCACGAATGTACATCCTGTATGAAATAAGTAAATAATATCTACTAAATGAGTGTTCTAGGAGTTCCAGAATATTTTCTTGATATGCCATTACTCATCAATGGTTTTTCTGCAGGGACAATTTAACATTCCCAATACACTGAAAAAAATAGTCGGTAGTTGATTAATATACCAAATAAATTCATCTGATAATACCACTACAGAACTGTACAATACTATACTATATCAAATATTTACTTATAGTATGGATACAATTTTGTTGTAGTATTATTCAATGAATGCAATGACTGGCTCCTATTTTACTAAACGTTTGGTATTCACTACCGACTATTTCTCTGAGTGCAGAAAACACCTTGTAGGTATATGTATAGCATTCTGGAATTCGACACATGTGTGTGCCAGGTTAGGTTAGGTTTTAAATATGATGATCTTCGTTTTTTCGCTAAGTAGTAATATTGCAATGGAAGAAATTAATACTCAAGAATAAGTATTGATTATAACATGTTGGGGAAAATTAATCATCGAAATTGAAAATACGAGGCTTTTGATGCTCAAAGTGGAACAAAATTTACATATACATAATTCTAATGGAATTGTTTTTCAGGTCTGATATAGAACACTATGAATGTATAAGGAGAAATTGCAAAAATCTATACTCAGATTAGAATACATGCAAGGATACTTGATTTGATTTTTTTCCTTGCAGGAAACAAGTTCACCAAGTACTGGACGAATAAAAAATCATGACGATTCATCGAATTCGAATAATGATTATTATTTTGTTTCTTTCAATTTACAGGCCCTTGAACATTCATCATTGATCGTTTCTCGACATTTCTGCTTATGTATCAAATAACACATTTCAAAGTTTCAAAATGTGTTTGAAATCAGATAAACATGGAGAAGGAAGGAACAACATTATTGGATACAATTAGGTATCGATAATACGAGGTCATCATGACAATGATTCCATAAAAGATTTATTAATTCGAAGTAACCATCAACATATTGTATTATATATATAATCGATAATATTCCTGTTTTCTCTTTTCTTTTTTTTTGTATTGACAAGGTATTATATTGGTCAGGCAGGTAAAACCACCACATCCATGCACATCATATAAGACGCTAAACGCGTTTATCAACCATCACACTTCGACAGTAATGTACATTTTTTGCTCATTTAATTACATGAACTCAAGTGCGTGGAGTGCAGATTGTTTACCCAATCGATGTTCACATTCGGCATATAAGTAATGGCAACATAGCAAGATAGCTGTTTCGGCTATCGTACGTCTGAAACACAACCGCTATTTTTTGTAACTGCTATGATGCCAAATGCCATCCTTTCTCAATACTCCTAAATATGTAACGATTCGATCAACGACCTGTATAAATTGTAGTGATTATATATTATTGATTCGCAGAGTATACTTCAGTAATTATTGTTCAGTAAGTAGCTATGGGATTAGTTTTTAGAATGTAGGCCATAGTCAATATCTTTGTACCAAATCAGATGAAGCTCTACACAGTCAAAATATCAGATCAGACCGAAGAAAATGGATATAATAGGTTGACAGTTGAATGATAACGATGATCTTTGGAATCTACTATGAACTGAATATTTCCTTCATTCATTCAGAATATGGCGCTACACTTTGATAGGGTATATGTACAGTCGTCTTCAGAGAACTTGTCGCACATGGACGGTGTCAGCTCTCTTAATCACCGCTGCAATAAGAGCGCTCATACCATCCAACTGCGACATGTTCACTGAAGACGAGTGTACATACAATATAACTTTTTTTTCATTGTTCTGATTGAACCATGCAAAGAATTGCGAATCACGATGAGAAAACATTACATTACAGTTTCAGTGACTTTTAGTTGGTATGAAATGGTGATTGTATCAGTATTTCACCTGATGAAGCTATACTGTGTAAGCGAAACATGTCTTGTGATCAACAATTTTGTGGAAATCTTTGTTTGTGAAGTTTTCACATTTGCTTTGGAATTCCATCAAGTAACAGCCGGATTAATTAAAAATCCACAAACGCCATCTATCCAAATTTGATATAATATCATTCCATTGACTTCATAGTTCTTCCACAAGTGTGTTTATTCTATAGGTATCTATCGTTTCTGATAGTTCTAATAGTTAATGAAATTTGGCGAGTTTATTGAATTCATATTTCAAACACATTTAGAAGTGATTTTATTTTATATTATATTGTTAAGTTGTGTAGATGAATGATGTATGAAAGGTCCATCGATGTAGAGTTAGCGCTCATTTTAAATAATTCGTATTTTTCAAACTATTCAACCTCTGAAGTAACATAGGCGGCAATTATGTAAGAGTATTCCATATTATCCGACCTAATTATTGAATACTTCGACAAATTAACGTAATGAAAAACAATATAACGTTATTCAAAAGCAATTTGTCTGAAAGTTCATGTCATTTCTAAATCTGTTGGAATTTGACATTCATTCAACATCTAAAATTAAATGGCTGTCAGTTTGTGTGATTGTTCAATAAATATGAAAAACTCACCAGAAAAACCATATTTCTTGTTGATTTTTCTGTATAAAATTTGTCATTGAAGTACATCATGAGTATATATAAAGTGTGTCCAATGAAAAATAAGAGCAAGCAGCTGTAAATCAGTAAATGCGTATCCAAAGACAGGCGGAAAAACAACGTGAAATTCAGAACATTTTCGCGAAATATCTTGATGAATAGTCGTTTGTTTACATTTTCATTATCAAATCCGTGTTCTTGAGACAAAAATACGTATCAAAAAAATGTTTCGAAGGAAATGCAAAATTACCAAATTTGACGTTATTGAACTCGTAACTCTAATTATTTGTTATTTTCATTAGGAAAATTATAGTCTATTTCCAAGATTTTGACAAGCTTTCATTTCGTTGTAGATGAAAATTCAAAGGCGAAATTATATAGTCATGAATAACTTGATGAGACCTCTAGAAAGAGCTGAAGATTAGTTCTTCCTTAAATCAAAACTCGACGTATTCGAGCGTTTTCCAAAATTTTGTTTTTTAATTCTACTAATTAGGCTGGAAAGTTTCCATTGGCTCACTCTGTATAGTAGACTTGGTGGAAATGATGGTACCAGACATATATCAGGCATACTGAGTTACGCGTTCCTAGAGACAATACAGGTATGAGTATTGGTGCTGGCTTTGAATTCAACTATCAGGCTTTTTCCACAGGCTGTAATTTCAGCAAGATCTCAGAATTGTCCAGTATCACACAATTCTATGCTTTAATAGATAACCAAAACTTTCAAATTTTGAGATATTCGAAAACATTCAACGAATATAAGCATGAGCTTCACCTGATTTGAGTTATTATATTCAATTGATTTAGAAGTAGTCTGAAATACTTAGGAATTTACTTAGGAATATACCAAAATTAGTTGGGGGAAAATACTGCATGCAATTAATATTGAAGGCTGAGTTGATAGTTTTTCCAGATTTCATCGAGCTGATCCTTTCCGACAAAGAAAATCTCAGTAAAGGTAAGAAACAGAAGAAGAAGACGAACAGAGACAGCTTCGACATATCAGCGTTGAACGAACTGTTCATGTGTACGCGGTGTACCAAAACATACAGATTGAGACATTCGCTGACACGTCATATGAAATTCGAATGCGGGAAAGAACCCCAATACGCATGCGCATTGTGCCCGAGAAAATTCAAGCACAAGTACGATCTCAATGTCCACGAGAGAGGAAAACATTCTCTGGTGAAACAGGAAGTTATTCTATTCAACTGATTGATATCTCTATTCGAAGAAACAGTATTATATTTTGTGATTTGAAGGTATATACCGGGTTACACACGGTATTAAGTCACACCTGTAACTTCTGCTTTCGAATAAATGGATTTTGCTGAAATTTGGTACAGATATTCGGATTTGATGACATTGTTATTGTTTCAAATGAAACACCCTGTTTATTTTCACATATTCAAGTTGAACAGGTCAAAACAATTGCAGTCTTTATGACAAGATTGAGAAATAGTGATTTCCACAGCTTATACTTGGAAATGTATTCGCACTGCAAGGAAATTCATGAAACGAAACTGGTTGTTGATTTTTGAATGAATGAATTCAATTTATTACTGCACTGAAACACAAAAATGATTATTTTCCTTAATGTTTGTTGTTGAATGGTATATGTATAGGTGGCCCATAGGGATTCCATTTGAGAAACAAATAATTTTTCATCAGAATGTGATGTCACTGAAATGTTTCATCGATGAGTGACACAAAAATTAATTTTTCAGAAAAAAAGAGTTCCTATAGTATTTTGGAGAACTCATTGTGAATAGCCTCGACCACAACTCATTTATCCACGAAATAAAATGAAATAAACTATTTCAATTCCAATTTGTTCGAAACAATCACATTCGACGTAATGATTGCACCTGTTTTGACCTGTTGAACTAGAAAATGTGGAAATATACATCAGGGTATTCCATTTGAAGAAATAAAATTGCTGTCATTTCCTTGAAACCCGGAAGACCGCCATATTGGATTGTAATGTCATCAAATCCGAAATGGTTGCTTACATAACTGTACCAAATATCAGAAAAATCCGTTTACAAATGCAGAAGTTACAGGGGCGGTCCGATACCCTGTGTCACCTGGTATAATAATTAGAAGTAATATGTATCAATTTCAGTTTTTGGTAACGTTTCCAGGAGTATTCCATAGAAGCTTTGTCTGTCCATGAAACATGATTTCAGAAAATATCAGTAGCTTAATTAAAATTCATCCCTGGGGAGGGTCGAATTTACTTCAGAGGGCACCTGTTTGTTTTCTCAAGTATTATTTCTCCTTATGTATCTACCTTTGGAGCATACCGGGTATCAACGTATTCATTAGACAAATCATGGTTTCCATCAGAGTTTCCGAAGTTATGTGCAATATTTCAAGCCATCCTATCACTTCCGGTTTCACCGGAAACTACCCCAACTATGATTTCCAAATAGGACACCCTGTATCTTTTTCAATGATCTGAAGCGCACTGGACTTTGTTTATGAATAATTCCATATCTCATATTTTCATATCTATAAACTACAATACTACAAAGCTCCACGCTGGAATTATTCACAACCTCCGAGAATGAGAATATATATATTATTGTACTCATGTAACGAATATGCAATTTAGTGTAAGTAAATGCAGTATGGAGTATGAACCCAGAATAATTAATTGAACACGAATTCGATATGTGAAGTTTTGAGATGAACATTACTATATGATGGTATGCATGAAAACTATGTTCCTAACAATATTTCAGGAATTAAACATTCCACATCTTGAAATGATAAAATGTGATTTTCAACAACTGTGTTGAAATTATTCAGCAAGCAATTAATTCATTTCATTCTTAATTGATTTCCATTAATTTACATTAATATGCTTTGTTTTAAACCCGCGAAAAGTTTGTATTGTTCATGTGGTAGAAGAGGATCTCGGTTCGCCAGTTTGGAATAGATGTCGTACACTATACTTTCTCTTACAATATTTCAGAAATAAAATACAAATTAGCATAACGTCATACTCAATAATACATTATACCTACTTGTAAGTACTTTATTGCATAGTTACCGAAGTTACCTGACATTTCTTTATAATTCTATAGTATATGGAAAATAAAGCATCTGGTGCAGTTTAAAATGATTCTTAACTGCTTGCGGAATCATTCCAATACAGCCGATGATCGAAATTACATTATTCCACACTATTTCACACTCAGCAACATTCTTCCTATTAGTCCTATTCCAATGAGAACTACTGCTGTGTGTTAAAAAAATGCAATCACCTATTGACTGCTCTAAAATGCACTGGGGTTTGTTAGGTTGTCCTGAAATTGAATATAAACAAAATCCAGTGCATTCCAGAGCACCATGTCGAATGTTATACAGGGAGGAATGGCTATACGCTACCGGCGTCGATAGGGTTAGTTCAAACGATTAGGAAGATATTCGCGTTCGAAGTTTCCATATTATGTTCAATGGGTGTGACGGGGAAATATCTTCGTAATTGTTTCAAATTAACCTAACCGATTATGGAATGAAATACAGGGTATCCTATTTGGAATTTAAAAGTTGGGGTAATTTTCAATGAAACTATTAGTGATAGGAGAGTATGGAATGTTGCACAATTGTCCGATTCTCGAATCCTACCGTTCCTACACCCCTTCCAAATTGGAATCTCATACTTTCGAAACCATGGCTTGTCTATAATGTATACGATGACACCCGGAATAATTGATGTTCTTCGGGATACGTTACTGAATTGATATTCATCTGGTTTATTGAGATTTTGACCAACGTTTTTTTAGTCACTTAACAGTTTTTTTCTCTTGTAAGTATTATGTCCACAGGGTTTTTATCCACAGCACCCTCAGGCCTCCAATTTTCAATCGTTCTTTCGATCACATAAAACAGAAAATAAGAAGAGAATGAACGAGTTGAAAATGTATAACATGACTTATGCATATAACCATTGCATATCAATAACCTCATTGAAAATTCTATTCATCAATGTGACCACCATATGTTCTTCATTCATATGCCTACTTTTAGTACCTTCTACATATACAGTCGTCTTCAGAGAACATGTCGCACATGGACGGTGTCACCGTCTCTTAATCACTGCTGCAAAAATAGCGCTTATATCATCCAACCGCGACATGTTCATTGAAGACGAATGTACATGTGTCGTATACGTATGTGTATATATGGGTCATTCTTCGAGACGGGGACACATTGACAATGATATTCAGTAAAAATGAAAAATATTAACAAAGACACGAAATTTCTTCGATAAATTTACATGAATCGATTCTGTTAACTGAAAAATAATAACAATCTCATAGAGTTTTGTTTTGATCAACTCAATACTGAATATTAGTACCTTCATAAAATTAATAGATATTCCATGGACTTGACCAACATAAAAATGATTCAGTAAATATACTATATGTGCTTCCATAAACTTCATATGATAAACGGTCGAGTGATCTGGAAATAAAAAATTTTGTGTTAGGAACATCTAAAGAAATGGAGTTGATGTCCATGGAGCTGGTGCATGTCCATGAAGTTGGTGTTTTAGAAGAAATATTCAAATATCCACATGGTTTCAAAACCTTACCTCAATTTATTTCTCATACATGAATATTGCATTCAAAGTATCTGAATGGATTCAGTCTATTTGTTATCAACGACATGAAGATGATTGTTAACAAAAATACTCACTTTGTCTCCAGAATCCCAAATTACTCGCCTGAATATAACCTTTGAAATTATGAAACTTTGGAACATTACTCAAGGCGGCACCTATCGGTAGTTTTGACAAAAATAGCAGGTGTCCATAGAGTTTACTTTCAAAATGGTGTCACATATTGATCATACATTTTACAATAAAATTTGGTGAAACTTCTTCTTTGCTTACACTCTCGTTATTGTTGAATCACTCAACATCATATTTACTGAAAAATAGTTTCATTAAGTATAGTTTTTTTTTGGATTATTATCGATTTCACTCAACCACATGGCAGCTATTCACAATCCATGGAGGTGATTTCAGAGGTGTTTTTGCTTATGAAAATGGAAAAGTATATATACAGTGTCATTCATAAAGTCGGCATCATATGGGAAAAACTTTTATTAATGACTTATTTTGAAATTTGAGTTGGACGTCAAGTTTTGCTTCGATAAAGATGAAAAATGGCCTACTCAATCGGGGTCACGTGACTTTCGCTACATGTCAAAAGTGAAATTTTTTCAAATTAATCGCTGAAAGTATGCTTATTTGTTCGAATATCGAAAAAGTTTACTTGAAAAAGTTGTTTCTATTTGAATTTCACATAATGTGACTCGGATTTTATCTTTCTATTACATTTTTTAGATTTCGATATTTTTTTAAACTTTCGAAATTTCTATGATATTAAAAAAATTGTAAATTCGATAAAACTACTTCATACCGGTAGCTTCATCATGTTACCAATTTTCAATCACTAATTATCACTAATTATTGACAAAAATATGATTTTCTTCAGAAAATGATAATCTCCTCTTCAAAATTCTATTATGTTTGATCCAAACATAATATCAGAATTCTGTTATGTTCGAGACAAGCATTCAGAAACAAAATTTATTTCAATTTATTTTTTCAGTACTGAAAAGATCAGTTTGAATGAATTTCGTTTCTAAATGCTTGACGATATATCAAATTTGCATCAAACATAACAGAATCATATTTTTGTCCATAATCAGTGATAATAAGTAATTGAAAGTAAGTAGCATAAAAAAGCTATTGTCATGAAGTAGTTTCGTGGAATTAACAATTCTTCAAATATTACAGAAATTTCGAAAAATTAAAAAAAAAATCAAAATCTAAAATTTGCAATAAAAAGATCAAATTCGGGAAGCATGTGTAAAATTGAAATAGAAACAACTTTTTCAAGTAAACTTTTTCGATATTCGAACAAATAAGCCTACTTTCAGCGATTAATTTGAAAAAATGTCACTTTTGACATGTAGTGAAAGTCACGTGACCCCAATCTAATAGGCCATTTTCCATCTTTTTTTAAGCAAAACTCAACGTCCAACTCGAATTCCAAAATAAGTCAATGATAAAAGTTTTTCCCATATGATGCAGACTTTATGAATGACACTGTATATGTTTTTTTTTTTGTTTTTTCTCCAACTCATGTGAAGCATAAGTCTTGAACTATGATCTCAAATGTTCTTCAAATTTGAATCATTTTGCTATATAATTTTCACCAACAAATTACATCATATTGTCTCCGATTTGAAAAATGACCCATATAAACCAATTTTGTACACAATGAGATACTGAACCTACGATTATCATTCTAAAATTCGATATTACTATTTTTATTTTACCCTTAGGGAGATGACCTGTCATATTTTCATTGAAATCAATCAATGCCCAATTATTTACTAAGTTTATGCAGCTGCGTACGCCCTGTATATGTTTGTACCTACTGAAGTACCTATGTGAGGATCAGAAGTATGTCGTCCCCTTCCGTAACTTTTATTCTACATACTGCTAAAATGTTAAAAGCTTTCGAATCGGAAATAGTCAAATAATAAGTGTCAAGTGTTTATAATTTGAAAACTATCAACTATTGTGATCGAAAAATATCCATCAAACTTTTCCAACGCTCTTTTGGAAACTTTGTGAAGATGAAACTTGAAACCATTAGAGAATCCCTACAACTTATATGTATTGAAAATTTGTTTATAATAATATGTAAGATGTAGAAGGGGGGGGGGGGGGGGTTGCGACGGACTTGGTCCTCACTGTAGTATTATTTTATTATTCTATCTGTGTATCGTATACAATTTTACTATGTTAACCATTTGAAACATGACCAATGACTTATTTAGGTAAGATTAGCGAGTTGCTTCTTATTTATACGCTAAGACTTATTTTAGATATAATATTTTTGTTCGTTTTATATATTTTTTCAATACTCAATATTCAATGAACCTTGACTGACTAGACTGGCCATAAGAATAAACTTATATTTCTGCATTTTCCAATTTGATTTTTTTCATATCAGTAGCTATATGTACCCAATTGTCTATCCTCAAACTTGACATTTATCATCTCACTACATAAGTGAATCGACAAGTATTTGCGATCGCACAAAATAAAATTCCTGTCATTGTTCCTGTAATATCGTGCCTACCTGGAGTTAGTAGAGAAAGCAGGTACACTGAGAAAAAAACTTAGTCCTGTCATAAGATACCATGAAAAACATTATAGCTCACATTACTATATGCATGTTAATTCGTATATTTGTGACATATTATTATTCCCGTTTAATGAAATCACTCAATTCCACTGGTGAAATAATAAAAAATACAATCCTGAATTGATCACATTTCAATCTCTAATTATCAATATATACAGGGTGTTTCAAAAAAACCTAACCCCCTTGCTAGGGTAGGTAGAACATTGCAAAATAAGTTGGGTTTGCTCAGTGAAAAAATGTCGTAACGGCATCCGTTTTCATGATACAAGGTGTTGAAAAAATTATTTTTTTACACATTTTTCACGATTATTCCGAAACTACTAGCAAAATTGTAATGAATTTTCGTATGGATGTTTCTTGGAATCTGACACATCGCATGAATTTGTTTTAATATCTGACTCTCATAGAGGGCGCTAGTTACAGGGTTCGTACCGAGTAGTTTTGAACATAACTTTTTTGAGGTCAGATTTTTCAATCCAAATATGATATGAACTTGAACATCATTCAATTTTACACCAAAAAGGTACTCTTGGTGAAACTCGATACTATGTCTCGTTTTCGGAATATTTTGATTTGAAAATAATGGAGTAGTAATGATGCTGGTATATAAAATGAATTTTATTGAGTTCAATTATTTATTCAGGTTCAAAAACAATAAAATTATTCTTGTGCTGAAGTTATTGATGGAATAAATAATCATGAGGAAAAACTTAAGAGATATTTGACTATGGAAACATGAAATATTGAATGAGTTAGGGTAAGTGTTCAAAATGTCCTATACGTTTCGAGGAATACACGATTCTATATTCTTTTTTTAAGAATTTATTATTCTTCTGAGCAGTTGAGGATCAGCTGTTAGGTCATTTGAGTGATGTTCAATTATGTCTCAGAACTCTTGACGTGAATTTACCCATGTAGCATAGAGTTTCTGCTCAAGATACAACAAAACTGTGTAATCCATGTCCTTAGTCAAATCTGTTTCGATGTTATTCTTGGGATTGATTGTTAAATCAATGAGTTTTGCATCAGGAATGTATTGTTGTTTTCGGTTTTCAATGAATAGGTGATAATTTTTCATAATACTCACTCTAATACTTAGCTTTATACCAGCAACAGTTTCCACTTCATCATTTTCAAATCAAAATATTCCGAAAACGGAACACAGTATCGAATTTTACCTAGAATACCTTTTTGGTGTGAAATTGAATTATGTTCAGTTCACATCAAATTTGGATTGAAAAATCTAACCTCAAAAAAGTTATCTTCAAAACTACTCGGTAAGAAGCGTGTAACTAGCGCCCTCTATGAGAGTCAGATATAAAAACAAATTCATGCGATGTGTCAGATTCCAAGAAACATCCATACGAAATTTCATCAGAATAATGCCAGTAGTTTCAACATAATCGTGAAAAGTGTGTATAAAAAATATTGTTACAACACCTTGTAACTTGAAAACGAATGGCGTTACGATATTTTTTTACTGAACAAACCCAACTTATTTTGCAATGTCCTACCTACCCTAGCAAGAAGATTAGGTTTTTTTGAAACACCCTGTATATATCATATTTATAGTTATACATATTTGATAGATATTTCGTTTTTTGTTTTATCATCTTTTACTTCGTTTTCATTAATAACAAGCTTGTAGTTGCCACCGGTGTCAGAAGCCTGTCGAAGTTTTTGATACATTTCTAGAATCAATAGATGTCTTATATTATTTTTTCATACATTTCTGGAAGCTTGAACAAACTGTTATGAGTTCACCTTTACTTTGCTGCAATCCCCACTAGCAAGCTACTTTTATATATGTATCTAAACTAATCTTCAGTCAATTTCTATCCAACAAAAATGTAAAAAAAATCAATTTACATGAATTCAGCTGAAAGTTGAATGTTATCATACAGGTCAAAATTGAAAATTAATTCGAAAGTGTTTGATCCATATTTTCATTGAATCGGTCAAAGTGTGCTGTGCAAATGTTGGAATTTCCTTTCTGAAACTGATAGACTTTTTCGAAAAAAGTGATCTCAAAGTGACATAATAATAAAAAAAATTCTTTCTCAAGTCGTAATCTGTGACATCTTTCTATGATATACTTACCATCTCGAATAGTATCAATTGAGAAACGTCGCTACCACATTTCAGCCAATCGCGATGCATCATTTCTCAAATATCGGTCATCAAAGTTATATTAAATTCCACATAATACCGTGTACCTTCGTTATGGATGGCCGAAGAAATTTTCCATATATACATCAACCGTATTCCATCATGATGGTAATTCATCATAATCCTATTCTATCGAGAATCGTTTTATATAGAAATGGTAATCTAACAGAAACTCATTTCATAGCAACAGTAAATGATCAGAATCGTATTGTCCGTATCATCACAAGAATACAAGTCTTACAGGTTGATGTTGCGACGAAATACGATTATGATTTTTCATTGTCTTGACAGAATACAGTTCTGACAAAATACAATAAATTAAAGTTCTGATTATTCACTATCATGATGATTTATGGTAATGGTAGATTTCCGTTCTGATAAAATAGAATTCTGACGGATGATTGTCGCGACAAAATACGGTTCTGATAAATTATCTTTTATATACAATATGGTTTCGTTGAATTATCGTTCCGTCAGAATACGATCCTGATAAAATACCATTCTGAGGAAATACGGTTATTATGGATTTCCAGTCCTATGAAGCACGGTATATGATGTTTTACATTATATACGAATAATAACGTCTGTTAAATTAGATATGGAAGCTCAAAGTACCAATGCATTCTCATAGCAATTCTTGAAGGTGAAAACGATTTTTTATGAGAATGGAAAATTCACCAAAGGTATCACTCACTGGAACAATGATTTTCAGGCTGGAAGGTAAGAAACTTACGACACAGACTCTTCGTAAATTTTCAAGGAAAACTAATTTTGCATTCCATTGACCAAGGAGTACTGAATCGACGACAACTCGCGAAGTTTCTTATTGAAGAAAAGTTGTCTGCAGATGTCAACATGAAGTAAGTGGTTCGCAATTAGCACTGGATATAATACCGAATGTATGGAAATTTCAGGATCACCAGAAAAAACTTCGAAGATATGGTAGAAGAAATAATTGACCTTGTTCCAACTGAAAACAGAGAAATTTACTACGTACCGTCCAGATTCGTGGACGGACGAAAAATGTCTTGCAAGGGAATTCTATATGATAACTATTGTAATAACAGAAAGAAATTCATCAAACTTGGTTTGATTCAAAAGGGGCATAAAATGTAACATGAGAAAGTTTCCGAAGGTAAATAATCAATTCGTGTTAATAACTGTTGTACGTACTTATATCAATGTCAACTTCAACTTCATTATTCACGTCATTGTCCGGTGAACGTTCTGTATAAATATCATCGTTGTGAGTATTATTTGTTTGATAACCCTGTATGATAACAAATGAAATATGATGTGTGAGTGGAGTTCATGAATATGTATTATTTGACGTATCCAATTGTTCCCTGTCACTTCCGGTTTGACCAGAAATGTCAGTGAGCCACTTTCGAGAAACACCCAGTATACATAAGGAAATTGAGTCAAATAAATTATCTATTATTCCACAAAACCTAAGTTGTATTTCCAATTTTTTATTCGATAAAATATCAAACTTGAAAAAGCATTATAAGTAAATGATAATAGTTATTTATGTAATAAGGATCATAAAGACGATCATTATGGTACAAGTCGTGAATGTTATCGGGCGAGGCGTAGCCGAGTCCGATAACACGGCGTGTGCCATAATGATTGTTTATGATTCGTATTACATACAAAATTTTATCTGATGGCATTTATATCAATACATTTTCGAAAAATTAAAAACTGCATTTTCGACATGTCACAATGACAACTATTTTTAAAGGAGTAAGTATTGTGTAGTTTCAAATATTAGTAGGTGAGTGAGCTGTGCTTTGCCATTATATTAATATTACAAATTGTAGTAATTGTTCTTTTACCATTCATAATAAATAGTTTTGTACATAGTTATGCATTTTGAATAAACTTTGTTGATCAAACCATTACATGTTTTCCTTATAGAATTTCATTATGGTACTTAGTACCATAATGAGCTTCCTTATGTCATCAAAATTGAGTGACATAACGTTGTCATTATGACATGCCATCAGATAAAAACTTTTTTTTAATGTTTTTCAACCTCTGTTTCCATCTTCAATCTCTTCTTCTTCTTTCTTTAATAATCGTGTTCTGAAAAAAGACAACTAAGTAGGACAATGATTTTCTGAACATGCATGGCTGAGAGGGATGTGAAGGTTTTGGTTAGTTCGAAGGTTGAAAGAATGGAGCTCTTACCTCTTTGTCAATTTATTGAATCGAGGAACAGGTTTTTTCCATTTCAATACTGAATAAGTGATGTCGCAGTAGTTATATTCTCTGAGAATGGAGATACCCAACCAAGCTGGTACGAGCTACGAAAATGAAGAGAACACAAGAATTTTGCACACGTTGTATTTGAAATTGATTAACCGAATCCAAGAAATGACCATAGACAGGGTCTCCATAATTGATGGTTGGAAGGATAAGCGATTGGGAAAGAATCTTTTTTGTACTTGGGGACAAGCTTTGTCTATGTGGATAGAGAACTTTGAGAGTGGCATAAGATTTAATCACAAGGATTATTTCATCTATTAAACTGACACTCTTTGTAATCATGCAAGAAGTTATCGATGTATGACACGATTAGTTTGGCTTACTTATATAGTATTACTATTGATAAAACAAGTTGAATTCTGAGATGAGCGAAATAGTCAGAAGTTTTCAATACTGATAATCCTGACATCAATGGATCGAGCAGGATTCAGAAGACGAATACGTGAGCTTGAACGAAAAGGATAGCGGGAAAACAATAATTCAATTTCTTATCGGAAGTATAGTTGATTGGCTTCTTACTCAAGATATTTGAATTTCTGATGAATATATTGTCACTCTTAGAGCTTTTCTCACAATAAACAGGTCATAGGCTAGACATTTCTACCATATATCCGTAGCACCAAATCAATTGAGAAAACAAAGAAACCCTTTTTAGCTGGTGATTTGAAAAAATCGATTGGGCCAAACTGCAGGAGAAAAATGACGTTCCATTGTGAAGAGTTGATTCTCAAAAATTGTTTCATGAATTTCATGAAATGAATGAATGCTGTTCATCTCAGTGGACCCAAGGTTGGTAGAACTGATGATCATTTTGTAATTATCATCAGTTCTACCAACCTTATGTTCTGGTTCCCACGAAAAGGGATATCCTGTAATATTAAGAGAACATCGTGAGAACCAAGGAAAATAAGGTGGGGGGTTGGTGTTCTTCTTGAATTTCGGGAGGTTATATGCCTCAGGGAACACCTACCTTGACAATGTGTTCTAGAGCCTTGCTGTTCGTTGGATGAACGAGTCTGTGGAAAGAGATGTTCTGCAGGTCTCCAAAGTGACCACGAAAGGGTGCGAAGCCTCAACTCGACAGGTAAATCTCGCGGTGACTGCCAAGGGAGGACCAATTGTCGATATTTCTGAAGAGCATCGTCCATGGAAATATCTATGAAATAGAGCCAGATCGCCAACTTTTCTACGGTGTTCCAGAGAAGTGAGTGAGTTTGTGAGGGAGGCATCACCCACGAGACGAATTGCCCTTTTTTAGACAGAATCCAACAGTTTCAGGGTATGTTTGGGTGCTGCACTCCAAATATGGAAACAGTATTCCAGGACAGGTCGGATCTGTGCCTCATAGATCATAAACAGCTGACTGGAAGTGAAAAAAGCTCCTATCCCAAAACAGAAAACCAAGTTTTTGGGGTGCACTTTTAGCAATTTTAACAATTTGAGTAATGATTCTATTTAAGAATTGAAATAAAAATCCACTCGCCTATTGTGCTAGGGTCACAGGAGGTTATAGGAAGCATTATGTTCAGGTATTCAGGTAAGTGAATAGTAACATAATATTATTGAGTTTTTTGATTAGGATCGTGAATAGTCCAAGTGCATCGATAGATTTCTGACAAGGATGTGTTGCTTGTGCACGTTATCCACATTTTCTTAACCTAAATCATTCAATGTGCCAATTTTACTTTGTAGTGTTCGACGAAAGATATATAAAGAAACCCTTTCATTGTTTGAATTGTAACAGGAAGTACAAACATCGAAGGAATCTTCAAGTGCACCAGAAAAATGAGTGTGGGAAAATACCAAAGTGGAGCTGTCCTTTTTGCGAATATAGGTCGCACAGAAAGTTCAATACGAATGCACACATCAAGCATATTCATAATGTTGATACGTACCTTGTTTGATAGATTGTTGACAAAATAACGAAACATGTTTTATTGCCTACTGAACCTTGCGACAATATTCGAATTCATTCAATAATACTATATAATGTATAACAAGTGTTATAAACGGCCTTTTAGTAACAAGTATTTTAAGCACAAGCGTAACAAAGCGGAGGAGTGTTTATTAAACGAATTTCTGGAAGAATTCAAAAAAACGTATCACATACTATACTTCTTCTACGAATTCATAATTACTCTCTATTCGACAAACTCACATAGGTCTTGAAATTAGCCCAACCTACCTACTAATCTACAAAATAATTCGAAGGAAATGAGAATTCAGAACATAATACATTATATTATGCAACCAATGAAACATGTGAGTGATATTTTCTGTATTCACTGGATACATAAATTTCTAGTAAAATGGATTGCTCACTTACCTTCGTAAATAAGACGATTTCATCTGGGATAGGAGATAAAATTCTCTTCAATTTGCTGAGGTGTCAAAGTTTTTGATTTCTCAGGTTTGTATCCAGATATTGTTATGTGCGTTTCAGAAATGCAGACAACTGAGCATATTAGCTCACATTATTATATTGTTTTACGATTATTGTCATCCTTAGCATATAGAATGGATGAAATGAGAGATTCAAACCTATATTTACGGAGAGCTTTCACTTTCGTTTGCAGACATTACAAATGATAAATTCTGATACAGGAACAGATATTATTTAAATAATAAGGAATACGCATGATTTTTTGTTTAATCGAAATTATATTCCTTCCTCCTTATAATAACATTGGATATCATTAATTAATCTCAAATTTGCTTGTGAATCTAAAAAATTTCATTTAAATGAGGCTAAATATGAAGTCACAGGAAAACGGGTTAGTGGCCATCACTAATATTATGACGTCATAGTATTAGGCCGGACAGCCATAGACTAGCGCGACAGAATGACAAGATTCAGATTGAAAAAAAAAAGAAGAAGAAGAGGTAGGAGAAGAAAACAGTTTTAAACGCCAGAAATTTGAAATTTGAAAATGGAAAATGATAATGTTTATACCAAATACTGTTTAGTGCCGCAATGCCTTTCATCAACAAAAGTATCACCAGGAAAAATATTCCTTTCATTGCCAGTGGGATCCAGTGATAAAATTAAAGAGAAAAGAAAATTATGGTTGCAAGCCATAAATAGAAATGATTCATCCGAGAAAACCAGAGGATTTGTTTGTGAAGACCATTTCGAAGTTCAAGTATGTCCTAGTGAAACCCATTATATATCAATGATTATGTTCCTCATGTTATTAGGAGAATAATATAATATGTGATTTCGTTTTCAGCTTGAAGAAGATATGGAAAACTATATGAGATATAAATTGATAGGTGGTAATATATATTTGAAACAACATGCAAAAAGAAGTCCTGTTTGATCATTCTTATTGTAGATATTTGCTTATTATTCAGTTATTATTATTCAGAATATTGAGATCATATAATTGAGATAGATTATAGAAACTACAAGCTCAGATAATCATAACCTCACTTTCTCTTCTTATATTATTTTCAATCTTTCGGACATGAATGTTTGACATGACAAATAAAAACAGCCACATCCAGTCGGAAATCATCGCTGCAGTTCGGCTGTTGGTCGGAAAGTTGCAAATATTATGATTTTCAATCAGAAATTATTAAATATTCGGTGCTCAATAATGTTGTTCGGATGTATAATTCGACATCTATACATATGAGTAATGGAACAAAAATATATTCCAGTGTGGAATTTTCACACGCGTATACCCTATTGTGATTGCCACCAATTGCAATATTCGAAAATGACAGTCAACAGTTCCTACAATAATTGACAGGCAGGACAGGACTCAAACGAGAGAAAATGTGTTAGAAAAACTGTTGTACCGATGACGTAATTCCTCCTACACGAATTATTTTGGATCTATTGATTAAATTTGAAGGAATGCCTGAATGAAAATAAGACGCCTCTGAGCGTCAATTTGTCCTTCAATTTTCA